GATTATCCTTTCGCCCGTGTTCCTCGTCCTCCGGCTCATGCTGCTCATTCTTCCTAACCCTCCCCCTCTCCCCCCTCCCTTCCCCCGTCCCTTCGGATCTTCTTTTTTCAATTCGGCCGTCACTACCACAAATATTTTTTATCCCGACTTTTTATCTCGCGGATTTTTATTGATTCCTGCGACTCGAATGTTTGAATCTTCCGAGAGACTTGAAAGAAAATTATACTTGAATGAAAAAAAAAAAGGCAAAATTAAGAAAGATACATTCTGAAACAATATTTATACAGGATATATACGTATCATATATATGTTTTCATCGATCAGCCGTTTTTTGAACGTAATTACGTCCACATCAGTGTATTTTTATAGCGACGACGTTGCTAAATAAATTAACGTTAATTTTGGAAACGAAGAATTTGCAAAAACGTCTAGGAAAGTCAATCCTCAAAATTCGAATAAGCTGACGTGTAACGAAAATTGTTTTAGATTAGGTTGACTTTATAATCACTAATGATGGAGAATATCTTTGCGTTAGCGAAGGTGGAAAAAAATAATTTGTCCGGAAAGTGATGTGTCGACGACAGACTTTTCCGTTTTTATATCTGAAAAGAAATTACGAAGAATCAACGGTTATTTTCGCATCTTTTGTAGCTGTTATTGGATTGTACGAGATATTCTCTGAAATCTTGAACGAATCGAAACACGTGACATGCACTTAAGAATTTATTCGCCAAAGAGGGAAAATAGCCAGTGAATGTCGCGATTCTCCTCGTGTCCTGATAACCCTTTGTGCGGAGGAATGAATCGCGCAGAAAAATGCGCACGCGGATGACAGGGAGATTTACTAATGATTTTTCGCGTGCGTGCGTGCGTGCGTACGTGCGTGCGTGCAAATAGAGAGAAGCGACGCAAAAGGCGCGAGGTGCAGCGAGGGAGGAGTAAATACACGTGAACGCGCTCTTAACCAACGCAATAATATTCGCCTTCCCTCTCTGCGAAGAAAAAAAAAAAGGAAAATAATTCCCTCGCTTACTCAGCATCGTAGAAATTTCGCATATATGCGTCCTGTGCTTACCCCTAGCGTTTTTCCATGAGATTTTTTTTTCACGATGACACTCGCATCCTGGTCGGTTAACGATTAACTTTTCAACTCCTCCCTCCCCCCCATATCAACACTTGATAGGATTAAGTGAGAAAGAAAAAAGAAAATCTAACACGAACTTGGAAATGGATTTAGAGCAATTTAATGGAAAAATCCACAATTATATATAAAATTGTGGGTTTTTCCGTTATGCTCTTGTATAAACAACTAGATATATAAGAATATTGAATATTTTATGGTCCTCGAGAGTATATATAATTAAATGACCCATCTTACGTAACAAAGCAATTTTGCGATGTTTCTTATTAAACTAGCTTGGTCGATTCTTGGAATTATTCGTGTCAAAAAAAAAATTATTATTCTCTATATATAATTATTATCTAGTAATGGAAAAATTATTTCTCACTTTGCAAGTTTTATATTTCAAGGAATTTGACGTCAGAGAGGTAAAACAAATTTAATAATTAAAATTATACACGCGATGGACGCGTTGTCGAACCGCACAGAGACAGTTAATGTGATTAAGAGAATTGAGCAGATCTTGCTCTCTGATATATTTCCTTAAAGGAAAAAAAAAAAAAAAAAAAAAGAAAAAAGTAAAACAACGAATACTGTGACTATAATAAACGTATATTACCGGATAAATCTGCAATCGTATAAAAAGCGACTCAGTTGGTTTCTTATATGCATATTAATTATCAATCTCGACTCGTAGTTCTAGATAATTTAAAATAGATAAACGCGTGAATTGAAGAATTATGGCTCGCGCTATCACAGCCGACGTTCGATCACGCAAGGGATCTAGATTTATAGCGTGTTGGCCGAATTTAGCCCGAGAAAGGTCGCTTGTCGCGGGAGATCGCGGGATCGCGAGAGATTGCGCGAGATCGATTCTCGATGCGGCAGAAAACTGTTGCGGTTGAATTACTCGCGGCAAGTCAATGAACTTATTCTTCGGTGTCCTCGTTTTTCGCACTGCCGGCCGGCCGCGGCGGGCGATTCTTCGGATATTTCGGTCCGCGCGACGTTTAATATACCGTGGATCGCGAAACTCGCGAAATATTAAGCGACCTCTTCTGTACTAAACACGCGGCCGAGATTAACTCGCCGTTAATGATTCAACGGCGCGGTATAGGCGAAGCTTATAAACGCGCGCATTTCCCCCGTTTGTAACGCCGGTTCCGCGAGTCGCGGCCTTTGCGGGCGGCCAAGTCGGAAGCGCCGGCGAAACGTAAAAAGAATTTTCCTTGTCCTTTAGCCATTCTATCCGAGTCATTAAACTCTCTTTTATGCTAATAACTCTTTCATATATTTCGCACGGGAATCTGAATTATCCCCCCCCGTTCTCAATTCTGGAGCTTACGTCCCCGCCGCTTTTGTGACGTTTTTACACAAATTGGAGTACAAATTTTGCAAGCACTTTCGAAACCGGTCGTTCCTTTTATCCGTTACGCGTATTGAAATTATGTTGGAATAAAATTTGCTTTGACATTATAAGCTGATTTGCATTAGAGTTTCAAGTTATCCATATAGGATGTTGGGTTTCTCTATCGCTATTTATTATATATATGAATTATACTGCTATATCTATATATCGAGCTATGTCATGTTACTTATGGGTGCGGCTCTCTAAACGTAACGAGTTCCTTTTTCGGATTTCCTTTCTCGGAACGAAGAGAGCTAGCGACAAGACACTTGTTCTACTTGTTCGAGGCTCGAAATAAATTTCTGCTCGATGAATGATGAGAGAATTCTCTGAATACACTTTGCCTCCAGGAGCGAATGAAACGCGAGCCGTCAGCTCTTGAAATATTTTGCCTACGACTCGTTATTTTTCGGCGTTGCGCGTTTCCGATCATGTTGAAGAAAATGACAGAACCTGTTTTTTCATTATTCTATTAAAATTTAACACGACATTCTAGCGAATATAAATTTAATACACGCGTCATATAGACATACTACATCTTGTAATACATAAATAATGAATTTATGATACATTTAAATTTAACGGTGCAACAATATAACAGTGGGTTGAATAAGTGGTAACGATTTTTCTTCTTCTTTCTTTTTTTTTTTTTAAATGAAGCGTGCGAATTGCAACGCGAA